ATAAGCAGATTTAAAATGACTTAAGGTTAATAAGTTGAAATGAGCCTCAAACAGCCAAATATTGATCACGTCTTATTGTTTTTATATTTGTATTTACGTCATCGTTCGTTTCTTAACTTCATTGGGGTCTTTGTTTATTTGGCGAATCGTTTTTAAAGAGTCTCAGAGACCAAAAAACCTCAGAAAGAAACCCCAAACCAGAACCCCGCCTCCCCGTGCAGCAAAAGCAAAAGTTAAGAAAAATTATGTATATGTAAAAAAAAAAAAAAAAAAACGTGAGTGCTGAGCCATGTTTGACACGCAGGCCGTCAGAGATCTTTCCACTCGTGGACCAATCCGCTCGCATTCCATCTCCACCATCTGGGACGGCAGCAGGTGGAGGACAGGTGGGTGTGTCAGAGTGAGGACCACCCCCTGCCCTCGAAGTGGAGCAGGTGGAGTGTCTTTGAAGGTCTTGATAAGGAAGACCGTCCCCGACAGTCCAAATCTGAGCACACTGAGGTCCCCACGTCTGAACGTGTGTGTCAGTGCAAAGCATAAGGTCGAGGCGAGCCGTCACCCCCCCCGTCTGCACTGCGGTTTGTGACGCGGTCGTGGCGGCGGTCCCGGAGCTGGACGGTCTGACTCGCCGAGCAGGGGCTCTCTGGGTTTGGTTGTTTTTGCTCGCTGACGAGGAGCTGCGAGTCTGAAAACAAGGCGTGAGCTCACAGACCGAATCAAATCGATCCCCCCACCCCCCGGCTTTATCCCAGCACCCCCACTCTGCCCAGTGCTCCCAGTGCAGCCGCGGTCAGGCTGCACACAGGCAGCACCGAGCCAGCCTGCTGAATTAGAGGTGATTATATCGCTGCGTGTGTGTGTGTGTGTGTGTGTGTGTGTGTGTGTGTGTGTGTGTGTGTGTGTGTGTGTGTGTGTGTGTGTGTGTGTGTGTGTGTGTGTAAAGCCTCTGCGACAGACTGCCGTTTTGTTACATAACCAGTTTTACACTAAATCAGCCTCGGCGCTCACCGGGAGAGGAAATGACCTCCGACCTGTGCTACCACTAATCACTAACAGGAAGTAAGTCTACAGGTAAAAACCCAAACACCCTAAAAGCGTTAGAGCGGGCGATACGATTGGTTTTCTTTGTTTCACCTGTTTGCTGGTCAGCTTTGGAGTTTTCATTAATCACTCTGTCATCACCTGTAGGCCTGGAGCTCCGCCCACTTCATTATTTTTAAGCCTGTGTCTGACAAAGACCTCACTAGATGGCCTCAGCTCAGGATTTATCCCCTCACTGACTCCCTGCTGGAGCCTCCGATGGACGTTAGAGGAACTGCAGCCTGGATGTCCACAGCGCAGCCTCAGTGCCTCGGTGTGTCTCGGTGCACTGGAGCCGCTTTCATTGAGAAAAATGTCTTGGATTGAATAATAGCTGTAGCGCCACCTGCTGGTTTACCTGCTGTATGTATTTGCCAGATGTGTTTGGGAGCACCGGGTTAGAGATGTCAGAAATCGTGCAGCGTGAACGTGTCGTTTGGTCCTCGTCACATTTTAGTTTTCTGCGCAGGAAGTGAGGTGAGTCGTTCGGAGTTTCATTCGAGTTACTTAAGCTCCATGAGCTCCTCGCTGCCTCTCAGCCTGCCTTTTGCTCTTATCCTTTTCCTTTAAATGACATTTCATTGCCGCAGAGGCAGTCGAATGATCCAGGCTGTTAGTTTGCTCTCACCACACTAAAATCATTTGAACCCTCTGAGATCATAAACAAAGCTGTACGTGTTGTAAGGCAGAAATCACAGCAGTGGTTTGTTGATGATGCAGCCCGCGCTGTTTGCTTCACGCTAACCCTCTAACCCTCGGGCTTACAGCCAGACAGAGAACACCTCTGACCTCAGCAAGTCAAACGCCCGCCTGAGTCTGTGCTCTGACTTTGTGAAACCGCTCTCAGTTCTGAACCTGTCATGTGTCCACACGGAGACTCGGTCCTGCACAGAAACACCCGCAGACAGACGGCGTAATCCTGACCAGACAGACGCGTCTGATCAGGCTAATCCCTCCTCACCTCCCTCTGCTCTGACCTGCAGATTACCGCACGCACGCACATGCACGCACACACAGGCACGCACACACATGCACGCACACACATGCACGCACACACATGCACGCACACACATGCACACACACGGACACACACCACTTCAGAAGGCACTGCGCTGTGTAACCCTTTCCTAACCCAAACCCTGCTCCAAACCTTTGCATTGATTCTTTGAACCAGGAGGTTGGTGCAGGTGGTGCTGGTCGTGTGAGGCGTGCTGGCGAGCGCGTGCTGGCGAGCGCGTGCTGGCGAGCGCGTGCTGAGCTCAGTGAGCTGTTGAACATGCACTCCGTGTGACTCATAACCTGTTTGTGAGTGTTTGGTGGGCAGTTTGCATGGAAACAGCCGAGGCTAAAGAGGGAAACGCTTCAGGAGCATGGCTCCGCCCACCGGAACGCCCATCGAGTCTGACAGTTAATGATTAAATGTGCGATCTGTTTCATAAGAGCGCTGCGTAGGAGAGGAAACGGCCTCCCAGACGCCGACTCACAGATCTACGCCTTTGAGGGTGTAGCATGATGATGGTGCACTACAGAATTGGAGGGTCTGATCAAACTGAAGCCTGCCTGAGGCAGCACAGCAGCTCATTTTCAGGCTCAAAGGTCAAAGGTGAAGCCCAGACTTTAGCCTGGGTCTGGTTTAACCAATGAGGACGCGATCAGGATCAAAGCTCCAGTCTAGACAGGGTGGTGTCAAAGGTCATTAGGCCCAAATCTGAGCCCGTTTCCCTTATCGACCTGGCTCCACCTCTTTCTGCCTCACGTCTGGTTTTCTAACATCTGTATATCTTCACATCTGCGTCTGTCTTAATCTTGGTGGGGGAACAATACCGAGAGCGAGCGAGGGAGGTGTGGGCAGGAGAGGGCGTGACTGCAGTGAGGATTCATTACAGCATCTGCACTGCACAGGCCTAACATTATCTCAGTCTGCGGTCTTAGAGGAGCCTCACAGGCCAGTTATTACAGAGTAATGGCAGCCCTGCAGCCTGTCATTACCCAGCACACCTTCATGTCTCTGCTCCTGCAGTTTGCACACAGCTCGGGCCCTGCTGCGCTTCTGCTGATGTCATCAGTAACCGTGCACGTGTTTTAAATCCGGAGGGTGTTACACGTCCGCTGAGGCTGGGCTTTGAACAGCAGGAAGTGTTTTACTGTCATTTAGATTTAAGTGTTAACGGAATCAAACGCACGCTCACAAGCTCATCAAATGGAGCTGCAGGGTTTGGTGTCAGGGGTCGAGGCGATGGATGCACACAAAGTTTACAGGTTTCTGTTGTGGTGAAATACTTCCTGTGAGCTTTGGGGATGTCGCAGCACCTCGAACTGCTTTACAGCACCCTTTGTGTTGACGTGTTGGAGCTGGGCGCTGCTCAATCGGTCCACACAGAACATCAGAGACGTTTGTCTCTGCGTTTGATGAGCAGAAGGTTGGTGCGTGAGGATGGGGGAGTCAGGCAGAGCATGAATGAGCGCGACGGTAAATAAGCTCCTCCTCTAAAGCCTCCCTGTCCTCTTTCTCTCCAGCAGGTATGTTCCGATTGGCTGCCTGCACTCGACCTCTGACCTGAGTGTGACCTGCTCTTGCTGATGTTTGAAGGGTGGATAGATGGGCAGGAATCCTGGGATTACACAGCAGAGGATTTTGGGAATGCTGGGAATTGTGCGTGTGGAATATTCAGCCTGTAAACAGATGCTCATTAAGACTGTGAAGCCTTTTAATCCCTGAAATACTGAAGTGAGAAATCTTAGATAACTGATACATGTCAGGCGTTCAGATGATTTATTGTTTTTTACGTTTTATTGGAGGCTAACGTTCCTGTTTGACTTCACGTCCTTCGTTTCTGGATACTTTTATCTCCGCCCCCCTCTTGGCTGGAGGAAATGGATCAATCTGCACTGAAGCGAGAATACGCGACAGGAAGTTGATCCCTACAGGGAGCGAGGACGAGAACAAACTGGGAATATGTCGTGGAAGAGGAACTACTTTGCATCAGGCAGCAGTGGAAGTGGAGTCAGCGGAGGAGGAGGCGGGGCTGGGACGCAGGGAATCCTGACACCTCGCACCATGACGTCCATCGCTCCCAGCAAAGGGCTGAGCAACGAGCCGGGACAGAACAGCTGCTTCCTGAACAGCGCTCTGCAGGTACCGACTCACGCTCTGACCTTTGACCCCAGCTTTCAGGCTCTCCCACACACACACACACACACTGACATTGATGTATTAATCCTGTGAAAATGTTAACATAGAAAGTATAAGCTGTTAAAACAAGTATCATTTATATTCGTTTGTACTTTGTGTTGTTAGTCTGTTTCGAACGTGCTCACTGTGACTGAGAATCTTCAGCCTTTATATGAAAAGTGCAGTTTACTTAATATCCCGAGCTAAACAGGACGTGTTTATGCCCAGTTTAAAACAGCTCAGGTGTCACAGGGGTACTGGGATGAGTCTGTTTGGGAGTTTGGGAAATTTATATCACTTCAGATCTCTTCAAGGGCGTCTGATACGTTCCTGTTATTTTAGCTTTGCACAACAGAGGTGTGTGTGTGTGTGTGTGTGTGTGTGTTTCTGTGGAATCAGTGACTCAGAAGTCAGATGTTTCCTAAGTGTAACGCTTATTTTCATCAGCATTAAATTACAAAACGAGCTGCTCAGACAGCGCTGAGCTCTGTGCGACACACACACACACACACACATTCAGTAATTGCAGGCCTCACATTTTTTCTGCGATGAGGTGACTTCAAATTGCCTGTAAGTGTGCATGGTTGTCTGTCTCTCTGTGTTACCCCCATGACACACTGTCCATGGTGATGGCCCCAATAAAGACAAGTGGAAAAGGACAGATGGATGGACGGA